TGCCAACTTGGGCCAGTGAAGCAATGCCCTCCACAACTAGACTGAAGAACAAAATGACAGCAACTTGTCTGTTCCCCTTTCCCCAATTCCCCAGCACTGCTCCCATCCCCCCAATTCCCCAATAAAAAAAAAATCTTTAAAAAAAAACAACAAAAAAAACCAAAAAAAAACCATTAGCATTTATGGCGAAGTTCAATAGGATTTAAGCCTTTTGAGAGCAGGGGCTGTTTCTTATTTCTTTTATATTTCCAGAGTATAACACTCCGAAAACTGACTTTAAATAAATATGTATTGATTATTTATATTCTTCAACTAAAGAACTTACAGTTTTGATGTAAGACCAAAATAATGTGTTTTTCCCCATAAAGGAGATAACCTTTTTTCTAATTAAAAAAAGTATATGTGCATTGTTTTTAAAAATCAGAAAAACAATCAGCATAAACTATAGAAAAACATTAAATTCTTACTCCACCATGCAGAGAAAAAAACAGTGTTTATATTTTGGTATTATAGACTTTCAAAAGATTTATAGCATGCATACTTTTTGTGATCCTAACTGAAATTTTCAACATGTAGAACGTGTGTGTGTGTGTGTAGAGAGAGAGCGTGTTTATGGCCTTTTATGGGGAAGACACACTGAAAGTAAATCAGTGATTCATATAAAAGAGTTCTGAGGCCAATGAATTTTGTTTTAACATTTCCATAGAGGGAATGACTGCGTGGACGGAAGAAGAATGCCGGAGCTTTGAACATGCACTCATGATTTTTGGAAAAGATTTTCATCTTATACAGAAGAATAAGGTAAGTTAGGCAAATTAATACGGAGAGATTGCTTAGTAATTACAATGAATATAAGCAACTGATTTACCAGCCACTTGGGTAGAAAAAAAGGAAGCCACTTGTTAATGCTTCCCCGCCACTAACATTTCTACGATTGCTCTAAATATTACTGGGATTTGCTCATAGATGCCGCAGCCTGCTCATGGGATGGCTGGTAGTATACTCACATATCTTTTCACATACACAATTTTCATACTCTACTTACAAAAAAATGCATTTACTGTATTTTTCAGGAAGTCTTACTCTTCTATCATTTTCCTTGACTGTGATTTCTTTCTAAACTATTCAGAGGTTTGTGGCCTCAAAAATATTTCTCTTTAGCAGCAAGAACTGAAGTTGCTGAAGAAACATTCATTACTAAAAGCAATTAAAAATATTCTAACGTCAAACACTGGTGAGGTTGTGGAGCAGCTGGAAGTCTCATTCATTGCTGGTGAGAATGCGAAATGGTACAGCCACTTTGAAGGAGCTTGGCAATTTTCTTACAAAACTAACCATACTCTTACCATACAATCTGGCAATGGTACTCATTGATATTTACCCAAAGGAGTTGAAAAGTGATGTCCATACAAAAACTTGCACACAAATGTTTCTAGCAGCTTTAATCATAATTGCTAAAACTTGCAAGTAATTAAGATGTCCTTTGAGGTGAATAGATACACTGTGGCACATCCATATGATGAAGTTATTATTTAGCTCTTGAAAGAAATGAGCTATCCAGCCATAAAAGGACATGGAGGAACTTTAAGTGCATATTGCTAAGCTAAAGAAGCCAGTTTGAAAAGGCTGCATACCATATGATTCCAATTATTCTATGATTCTGGAAAAGGCAAAACTGTGGAGACAGTAAAAAGATCAGTGTTCCAGGGATTAGTGAGGAGGGAGGGATGGGTAGTCAGAGCACAGGATTTTTAGGGCAGTGAAACTACTCTGTATGATACTGTAATGGTGGATACACACACCATTATATATTTGTCAAAACTCATAGAATATACAATACCAGGAGTGAACCCTAATGTAAATGATGATTTTGGGTGATAAAGATGAGCCTGTAGGTTCATCGATTGTAACAAATGTACTATTGTGGTGGAGATATTGATGTGCATGTGTGAAAACAGCAAGTATATGGGAACCTCCTGTACTTTCTGCTCAAGTCTGCTGTGAACCCAAAGGTGCTCTGAAAAATAAAATGGGTGTGTGTATAGTCTAATAGTTTGGAATAATTCTCATTAAAGTTTGCTTTGTTTATTATCTCTTTATCCTAAAGGAACAGATCGTGAAGTATTAGGTGGGTAGGTCAATATTTTATGCCTTTCTCTTTAATAGACTAGATTTTTTAGAGGAGTTTTTGGTTTACAGAAAAATTGATCAGAAAGTACAGAGTTCCCTTATACCCCTTCTCCCTGCATATGCACAGCTTCCACTAATATTAATCTTAAATTAGTGTGATGCATTTGTTATAATTAATAAACCAATATTGATACATTGTTATTAACTGAAGTCTGTAGTTTATATTACAGTTCATTCTTTGTGTTGTATAGACAATGGGTTTTGACAAATGTATAATGACATGTATCCACCATTATAGTATCATACAGAATAGTTCCACTAACCGAAAAATGCCCTGTGCTCTAACCTTCCAACCTATTCTTCTCCCCTCCCCTCCCTCCCTTCCCCCCACCTTAACCTCAGGCTTTTTACTGTCTCTATATTTTTGCCATTTCAGAATGTCATGTAGTTGGAATCATATTGTATGTAGTCTTTTCAGATTGACTTTGTTGACTTAAGGATTCACTTAATATTCACTTAAGGATTCTCCATGTCTTTTCATGCCTTGATAGCTCTTTTTTTTTTTTTAATCACATTTCTTTTTATTCCATTCTGTGGATGTTACCAGTTTGTTTATTCATTCACCTGTTGGAGGACATGTTGGTTGCTTTCAGGTTTTGACAATTATGAATAAAGCTGCTGTAAACATCTGTGTGGAGGTTTTTCTGTGGACGTAAATTTTCACTTCTTTGGGTAAATAATAATGGGTGTGATTGCTGGATTGTATGGTCAGAGTATGTTTGGTTTTGTAAGAAATTGCCGGGGCGGCCTGGTGGCTTAGTTGGTTAGAACTTGTGCTCTTAACAACAAAGTTGCTGGTTTGATTCCCGCATGGGATGGTGGGCCTGCACCCCCCACAACTAGATTGAAAACAGTGACTGGACTTGGAGCTGAGCTGTGCCCTCTACAACTAGATTGAAGGACAACGACTTGACTTGGAGCTGATGGGTCCTGGAAAAAACACTGTTACCCAATAAAAATTTCAAAAAAAAGAAAAATTGCCAAACTGTCTTTCAAAGTAGCTGTACCGTTTTACATTCCCTCCAGCAATGAGAGTTCCGTTGCCATATCGTTGCCATCATTTGGTGTTGTCAGTGTTTTAGATTCTGGGTATTCTAGTAGGTGTGTTGTGGTAACTTGATGTTTTAGTTAGCATTTCCCTGGTGATATATGATGTGGAGCATCTTTTCATATGCTCGTTTGCCATCTGTGTATCTTCTCTGGTGCTTACTAAGGTCTTTAGCCCATTTTTTTAATCAGTGTTTTTTTCTTATTGTTGAGTTTTAAGATTTCTTTATATGTTTTGGATCATGGTCCTTCATCAGATATGTATTACAAATATTTTCTCCCAGTCTGTGGTTTGTCTTTTCATTCTTTTAACAGTGTCTTTGCAGAGTAGAAGTTTTTAAGTAGTTGTTTAAGAAGTCCAGCTTACCAAATTTTCTTCCATAGATCATGCTTTTAGTGTTGCATCTAAAGTCATCGCCATCCCAAACGTCATCTAGGTTTTCTCCTATGTCATCTTCTAAGTTTTACATTTAGGTCCATAATCAATTTTGAATTAATTTTTGAGAAAAAATGTGAGATCTGTATCTATTATAGATTCTTCCTTTCTCCCTTCTCCCCCTCTCTCCCTTTTCCTCCCTCCCTCCCCCCTCCCTTTCTTTCTCTCTCTCTCTCTCTCTCTCTCTCTCTCTCTCTNATTTTGAATTAATTTTTGAGAAAAAATGTGAGATCTGTATCTATTATAGATTCTTCCTTTCTCCCTTCTCCCCCTCTCTCCCTTTTCCTCCCTCCTCTCTCTCTCTCTCTCTCTCTCTCTCTCTCTCTCTCTCTCTCTCTCTCTCTCTCTCTTTCTCTCTTTCTTTCTTTCTTTTGTTCTTTTTTGCATGTGGCTGTCCAGTTTTTCTAGCACCACTTGTTGAAAAGACTATATTTTCTTCATTGAATTTCCTTTGGCCAAAGATTAGTTGACTGTGTGGGTCTATTTCTGTGCTCTTTTTTTTGTTCCATTAAGCTGTCTGTTTTTTCACCAGTACCATACTATCTTGACTACTGTAGTTTTATAGTAAGTCTTGAATTTGGGAGTGTCAGTCCTCCAACATGGTTCTCTCCTTCAATGTTGTGTTGGCTATCCTGGGTTTTTTGCCTTTCCAATTAACTTTAGAATTAGTTTGTCAATATTTACTAAATAACTTGCTGGGATTTTGTTCAGGATTGCACTAAATCTATAGAGCACATTGGGAAGAACTGACATCCTAACAATAATGAGTCTTCCCACCCATGAATATAGACTCTCTCCATTTATTTAGATCTTCTTTGATTTCTTAGAGTTTTATAGTTTCCTTTATATAGATCTTGCACATATTTTGTTAGATTTATGCCTAAGTATTTCATTTTTGAGTGTGGTAATGTAAATGGTATTGTGGTTTTAATTTCAAATATCAATTGTTCATTGTTGGTATAGCAGTTGACTTTTGCATATTAACCTTGTATCCTGCAACCTTGCTATAATCCTTTCTTAGTTTCAGGAAGTTTTTTTGGTGATTCTTTGGGATTCTCTATATAGATAATCATGTCATCTGTGAACAGAGTTTTATTTCATCCTTCTCAATCTATATGTCATTGATTTCTTTTTCTTGTGTTATTGCATTGGCTAGACCTTCTGTTATGATGTTGAATAGTTTCATACTTTTTTTGTATTTATGAAAACCTAATTTTTTTTCAAAGATGAAATGAAGTGTTTAGTGGATAAAAGATTGTTAAAGACATCTGGGTTGCCCCAAAAACATCAGTTTTGCAATGACTTATGAAATTTATCCATTTATTTCATAAATAATTAAGCCCTGTAATTTACCAGACATTGTTTTAAGCACTAGAGATATATCTGTGAATAAGACAGGAAAGGTCTCTGTCCCCATGAAGCCCATATTCTCTGTGAAGACTTAAAGTTAGTGATGTTTATTGAAATGTATGCTTTATTTTTTGGTTTAAAAAGCTTGTCCCTATATTATTATCTTAAAACATGCTCACTAGTTAGGATAGAGATACTAAAACTTCCTTATTGGGTACTGATTAAGCAGTGGAGTAAGTGTGATAAAGACACAGAGTTTTGTCTGTACTTCTGAACTCATACTTGTAGCTGTGAATAGTTAGAGGAGCACTGGTCTGAATGTGGAGCCGAGTTGGTGAGGCTCAGATTTTAGTGTTGTTGTTCTTATTAAACTCTTTTGGAGATAAGAGCCAAATATATGTTGGAGGAAAAAAACCCTGCTTTTAGCTAGCAGATCATCTTAAATTCCAGATGCAGTAGAGTGCCGATACCTTTTCCAAGAGTTTGTAGTCTCTTTTGGATCATGGAACCCTTTGATAGTCTGATGAATCCACAGTCCTTCTTCCCAGAAAAGTGTATTTACATATAATTTTAGGAATTAATAGATTTCAATGAGGCCCATTGATGGACCCCTCAGAATTAAGAAGGACCCCTGCTGCAGCGACAAAGAATCACAGAGTTCAATAAAGAAAAGTAGAGGATGCTAGTGTTTTACAATTCTCAATAAAGATGGTAAGATAATTTCTGGATATTCATTTATTTTATAAACTAATACATTCTGATTTAAATAAAAAAACCTTGGGCTTTTGAAGGTAGCCTCATTATTAAATAGTGTAAATGTAAAGTCATTTCACTAATAAAATGCTCAGAATTTCATAATTAGGAGGATAGAAAATGTCCCATGGATTGAAGGTGCAGTGTTGTAAAAAAATAAATAATAAAAAATGTGGTGGGTTTGTTTTTAAAAATCCAATTTCTTTTTGTTAGGTGAGAACTAGAACAGTTGCTGAATGTGTAGCATTCTACTATATGTGGAAGAAATCTGAACGCTATGATTACTTTGCTCAACAGACAAGATTTGGAAAGAAACGATATAACCATCACCCTGGAGTTACGTAAGTTCCTTGAGCTTGTCCTCAGGAACTTTAATTTGTAACTGTGATGGGCAGTCATAAAATAATTGGGTGTGTTTTTCAGGGACTACATGGATCGTTTGGTAGATGAAACAGAAGCTCTGGGTGGGACAGTCAATTCTTCAGCCTTAACTTCCAACCGGCCTGAGCCTATTCCTGATCAACAGCTGAACATTCTCAACTCTTTCACTGCCAGTGACTTGACAGGTAAAATGGGCATATTTTTGTGTTCTTTAGCTTGGCCCAAAATTGTGTCCTCTTTGTTTCATGACACAGGACCATTTACTTATAAACCATTTCCTATTTTTTTCTTTTTAGCTTTGACCAACAGTGTAGCAACCGGCTGCAACCCCACGGATGTGAATTGTTTGGATGATAGCTTTCCTCCACTGGGCAACACACCCCGTGGACAAGTAAATCATGTGCCTGTTGTAACGGAGGAGTTACTCACCTTGCCCAGCAATGGGGAAAGTGATTGTTTTAATTTATTTGAGACTGGATTTTATCATTCGGAGCTAAACCCCATGAACATGTGCAGTGAAGAGTCAGAAAGACCAGCGAAGAGATTGAAAATGGGCATTGCTGTTCCTGAATCCTTTATAAATGAGGTTTCTGTAAATAATTTGGGTGTGGACTTTGAAAATCACACACATCACATCACCAGTGCCAAAATGGCCGTCTCTGTGGCTGACTTTGGCAGCCTGTCTGCCAATGAGACCAATGGTTTCATCAGTGCCCACGCTCTGCATCAGCATGCCGCCCTTCACTCTGAGTGACATGAGTGAGGGACCCAGAAACCGTGGGTGTGCAGTACCAGTAAACTTGAGGGAAGTATCAGGTTTGCTTAGTCTTTCACTGGAAGTTTGAACGTTTTTCACTATGACATCAGTGATGTCAGTATGTATAGAACTATATCTTGATTTATCAAGAGTATTTTCATTTTTCAATCCATAAATGTGGAAACGAACTATGATCAGCAGAGTTGGGAACTAAGATTGAACTCTGTGGTGCAGCTTTAAGCTCTGCTTATCTCTTCCTCATCTCCCAATACCTCTTCCCCACTCCCTTCTTTTTCTATTCTTTTCTGTTCCCCACTGCCCTCACACCCAATTTTAAAACCTGTAGACAGAGGCCACCAGCTCAAAACCAGCACAGATGTTCTGAACTGAATGGAGTGGCTTCTTTTCGAGTAAATTCCTTTTGCCGTAATGGATGCAGTGGAATAACAATGTTTACAGGTACCGATCCTGATCCCTGCTAAATGTAGCATTTTTTGGTTTTATTTTCTTAACTAAAAGCAGGGGTAGGTTTCTTTAAACTGCACAAACATGCAAAGATTTTTTTAAAATGGAAACTTCTCTCATGTTATTCAACTAGAGCACTTCAGTTTACAAAACAGCAAGTCCATCTTTATGGAAGCCAGCACGAGGAACTGTGTGCAAATTATGAAGACGCTTGCTTGGATCCTATTTGAAAATACTAGACCAGGGCTACCTTACACAAAATCAGTCATTTTGCTGTCAGAAGATTTTTGTGTAACTTCATTTGTTGGCTAATAATGTGGCGTTTGAAGATGTGGTATTCCGATGAGGTTTTTGTCCACCATTGACAAGATTGTAATTGTAAAAATTATACCAGACATTGATAACTTAGTTTATCCTGAGGCAGTTGACTGGCAGGGCACAGTCTACAAAGCCTAGGATGTTGCCACTCATTGGTTTACATTTTGGGACACCTCTTAAGTTGTTTGTAGCACTGCAGTTCGAAGTGTTAATATTTAGGAGGGACTTCTGGATTTACACATAATGCAGTAGAACCTTGAAGTATATTTAAACGATTTTGTTTAGCTTGAACAGTTGGCAAGAAAAATGTGAGTTCCTATCTGAAATAGAATGGTCCGTTACCACTTTAAGATTTAAAAAGTTATAAACATTCAGATGCATCTCAAACTCACTTTTATTTTTATTGCAAACGTGAATGAGATTGGCCATTTTGGCTCTATAGACATGCATCTTTAAGTTACAAGGTGAATTCAAACAATATGTAATACAGTATTAGGATGTAATAAGCTTTGCTTTTATATTTCAGTTAAAACAGAATTTTACTTTTTTTTTTTTGGTACCGCCTTAATTAAATTTTCAGTTTCTTCTAGTTGTATTGCTTTGCAAAAAACTGAAATGTTTGGCTGCATTGCTGATATTTGTAAGTGTAAGTCACTTCAAGGTTGTGCTGATGAGTAGGTAGATTGTAGTAACCTTAGTAGTGATGGAAAGGGAGGGTATTTATTATACAAACTGTGAACTGCAATGACGTCCTTAGTTTTGGATGATGTGTATTCTTGTTTTTCTTTGCAGCATTTTAATGAAGATTGCTTTGAAGTGTTTACGCAGTAGCACATTTACTATAAAATGTAGGTTAGCACAGTGGACAAAAGTAGATAAATTAATAACTTAAAATCATTCTCTAATTTATACATCTAAAGTCTAGCATTCCTGTATGCACACAGTAAAAAATGGGTAGCCTGGGCTGTATGTTGCTTTTAGATATTTTTATCCAAGTTGTCAGCTTCTTATTGCTGTGGTGTTGTGCTAAACTTTGACCTTATTTCTTTTGTTGAAAATCAGTACAACTTCTATAATTTACTAAGATACTGGCCATAATCTTCCATTGTTATCACTTTAATTTTCACTCTGGGTTTACAGTGGCTGGTTGTATAAAATAATTTACACAAAGATGACTGAATGGTAATACCAGTTGCACTTAAATGAACATCCCCATTCTCAGTAGCTGATGCAGTAATATATTCAGTTTATCTATGCATTGCTGGGATCTTGATATAAGATGGAAACAGTGTTTCTTATCTAAAGTTTTGATTATCAGCAAGTTGAATGGACACTTTAGTTATTTAAATAAAGATTTTTGACCAAAATTCAGAAAATGATATGAGAGAAAAATAAATTACAGCTAGTTTAATAGATTTTTAAATGCCAATCTGATTTTAGCCTCTTAGAGAGTGCTTAACTAGCTGGTAACGTTTACTTTTAATTCCTTGTTAAAATGAGGCAATAATTTGCAAGATTTTTGTATATATGTGTAAATTCTTCATATCTTTTTAGATCTAATTCAATATTTTCTGACTGCTTCTGCCATGTATAATACCATTTTTGTGCATGCTTGATGTGACATTCATAAATTGTACCACTATGACTTTATCCATGTAAAATAGCTATTTATTGAATTTTCTTTTAAAAGCTTGATTTACTGGCTGTTTTTTTTTTTTCCCGTTTAAGCATCTTAACAGAGAATTTGTTACTGTTTATTAGAAGAATTGCGTTTGAGAGGATGGAAGTAACTGATTTGCAATCACATGAAGAAACAATAATGCCTTTATTATCAAGTGTTAAGCACAATTCTTATAACAAACTGTGATAAATTCTTTTTTTTTTTCCTTTGCTGCATTATTTTCGTATGAACAAACCAAAAATCCATGGTGAGCAGTTGCAGTGTTGGCTGATGTATCTTTTATGTACAGAGAATTTGAAGAGGACGGCGGATTCATTTAGAAGTGTAACTGGTGCTGTGATTATAGCAATACTTTACTTTTATTAGTCGTACTTCATCTTTTTCATGCTAGCTTTTTAAATGTTCAGTTTTCCTCTTGTCATGGTCAACTGCTGAATTTACTTGAAGGATGTAGAATACTGTTTAAACAATACTAAAGTGTGTACAATTAGGTCAAAGAATTGTGCAATTGTTTCCTTTTTAATTTTTAAAATTGAGGGTCATAAATATTTGAGGATGTCAGATCTAATAGAGCATAGTGATACTATTTAATTTAACCAAAGTCTCTAGTGAATATTTCAACTTTGAATGTAAACTAATGAATAAACCTGACCACCAAGGAGATTGTTTGCCCAGAGTTTCAAAGCACATTGTCTACAAATGGAAATTGAAATAATTTATAAAAATATTGACATTGCTATGTTTTTTAAAAAGTTCTTAATTTTTTCACTAAAAGGAGGAAACTATTAGTTTTATTGTTAAATATGGTAGATATTAAAATTCCTTTTAGATAACCAGTGATTCCAATGGTCCCAGTTTGAAGTAAGTACCCTGTATGAGATTAATTAGTGACAATCAGAACAAGTTTTAGTATCAGATGTTCAAGAGGAAGTTGCTATTGTTGTATTGATTTTAATATTTGTACATAAACACTGATTTTTTTGAGCATTTTGTATTTGTTGTACTTTAATACCTGGTGTACAGTTCCAGAAATAAAAATCTGGAAATCTTTTTTTTTTCTTGGTTCGTGTGAATATTTGCTACAAATAGTTTTTTGGTTTTTTTTTAAAGATTTTTATTGGAGACTTGGGGGAGGGGAACAGTGTTGGGGAATCGGGAAGGGGAACAGACAAGTTGCTGTCCTTTTCTTCAGTCTAGTTGTGGAGGATGTCGCTTCACTGGCCCATGTTGGTATTATCATTGCGCCCTTCCCAGGTGAGGCAGTTGCTCGCCGGCCATTGGACGGCTGCTCACCAAACAAAGCTCACGCCATCTACCAGCCAGCCCCACTGCAGCCTACGCCGTCACTGGCGACTCACAGCAGCCCAGTTCCAGGTCAAGCTGTTGTTCACCATCTTAGCTGTAGAGGGCGCAGCGTCAGTGGCCCTCACGTGGGATCCGAACCCAGGCCTTGCTGTTCAGAGCTGGTGTCCCAAGCCAACTCCTCACCAATGTGCCAGTTGGCCAGCCCACAAATAGGTTTTTATTTAATGAATCTTAAGCTATAACACATGGGTAGATATTTAACCACTGCTAAATTGGCTTTAGATGTAGTAAACATTTGATAAGTAATAAAGTTGGTAGATAAAATAAGTTTTCTTTAAATCCTCTGTGGTAAATTTTCATTTATAACTGAATTGTACAATAGTCATCCCAAAGTGAAGATTATACTTTCAGGCTAATGCAGGAAATATTTATTGACTGTCTTATGTTTCAAACACTGTTCTAGGTCACTGTGTCTTTTATGAACATAGCTGAAATTTGATCACGCTATTATTTGACAATATATTTATGGTAAACGAGTCTTATCTATAACATTCATAGTTTAGTAGACTAGAAATATCTTCGCTGAGTCTTCATGTTTTCAGGGTAAAGATCTTTTAGCCTAATTTCACAAGTTTGTCCCCATATTTCATTTGCTCTTACCAGAACTTTCTCTGTCTAGTTCTATTAATATGCAGTGATCAGATTGCATATAAGATCCAGATTTTGTGTAAGGACAAAAGGAGGATAAAAGTGAAAAAACAAAAACAAACCCACCTTGACTCCTCTACTTTGGTTACTTGTCTAAAACCACATTCCTTCACTCAACGACACCCAAGAGCCTTGATGTGCAGGGCTCTGTGGTGGACACATACATGTAAATACCTTCAACAAGGGGGACTTTTGAATATAGCCAAGAGTACAGCCAAGTAGAGCTTTTAGGGGAAGGAGGAGAGAGCCTTGTGGGAGCAGAATGTAGTGACTTCTAGACCTTACCCTTTTGGCCATAATTTCCGTTGATGGTATGCTTTTTGAACCTGCTGCTTTTCTGACTTCTCAAAGGCCTCATGGCATCTGTCAATTGGACATTTCATAATACACAATTTAAACCAATCCCTGGGACATGGTACTGTTGACCATATCCCATCCAGGTTAAAGATCCCTAATCTTCATCCTGTTTTTGTGGCTGATGGTGACAAAACAGTGCCAGCGGCACTGATCTCATGGTCCTAGATGGGGAATGCTCACTTTTTTCTAGGTTTAATACCCTAGCTAACATTCACTTCAGAGAGAGACTGTACTCTGTTGTGTACCTCAATTTTGATGAGTTTTTTACAGAGGTAAAGCCAATACTGTTAAAATTGTTTTCTGGTGTAGAATTCATAAAAGCATTTCATAAACATGCCAGAAATGAAAATAGCCACTTATAAATTTGAATTATTTTAGTAAAAAATGTTCTATTTTTAAAATTATGTCTTATTTAAAAAAAAATCTTTACTCCATTTTTCCAGTCCAGAGCAAGTCATACTATGCAAGCTTTATTCTCCTACTGGGAGCATTTTATGAACAAAAACTGTTTTATTCTTTAAACCTCTCAGGATCTTTCACATGGTAGGTATTCACTAAATATTTGATGACATGTTATTCTTAAGCTGATAGTGACTTTTTCTCCAACTAAAAAAACCCCCCAAAACTTTTAAGACAAAAGTGATAAGAAAGGTATAAAGAACCACCCAGACAGAACAATTAGCATTATATTTGATCTCTATATAACATGTATTTTTTTAACTGTTTTTTAAGTCATTGACATTGTACCACTTCATTTGTAAATACTCAGCCCACCTAATATGTCCATAGGAGTTAGTTTCCATATTTTGAATGTACACAAAGTTCTAGGTAACAGGATCTTAAGTCAAGTAGATTGGCTTTTTAACAAGATGAGTCCCCCTTGGTTTCTCAGGATCTTTGTGACACAAAAGACAAATGAGTTTGAGAAAAATAATGAGAGAGTGAGGGAGAGAGAGAATGAGTTATATGGCTGTCTGCGGGGAGGTCTTTGCATGCAGAGAGAGCTAGTGCAAAAGTCCTGAGATGGGTGTGCCTGGCTGGTTCAGGAGAGGCAAGGAGGCAGGTGTGATGTGTGCAGTGAGCAGATGAGCTCAGAGATAATGAGCAGCTAGATCATGTATTTGAAGGACTTCGGCATTTACTCCAGGATAGGAGTACTCAGAGGCAGGTCAAGATTTGACTTTCAAAAGAATCACTCTTGGTGATCTATTCTGTAAAGCGGGCAGGAGGCTATTAAAATTGCAATAAATTGAGAAAAGCTGTTGGCTGTAGCAGTGAAGGTGGTTAGCATCAGATTTATGCAGGTTCCATGTTAGGATTTGAGGGACCCAATAAATAACACTCTCTTCCTTATCCAAGTTTGGAACTGAGAGTTGGATGCAGGAGTCAGGTCGTTGGAGATCAAAGTAATTATTGCTAATAAAACTCTCCGGAGAAGGTGGCTTCAGAGCTGTGGCCAAGTTGGCTCACTGATACTGCACCTCAGAACGACACTCACGCAATCGCTGGCTGGGCTGACTATAGGCTACTCCTTGCATAGGACAGCCCAGGAGACATTCTCCACAGAGAAGGATCTAGAGGGGTCTGGATCATAGGTATCTAGTTCTTCTCCAAAGATAATCTCAGAAAAATTATCTCCCTCCAGGGAGTGGAGAGAGAGGCCAGGAGCATTACTAATGGAAACCTTCCACATGGAAACAGGAAAAATAGGTAATAGGTGTTCTGCCCACCACAATTTTTTAACTATTGGGCTGTCGGAAAAGTCATGACATATTTTTTCTGTTTTTCATTGCAAAAATGCGTCATGACTTTTCTGACAACCCAATATATTCCCACGCCAAAACAATCTCACAGTTTTAAACTGTATATGTGTAAATATTCAAATAAAGTAGAGAAAATAGTATAATGATACCCCGTTTCTCCTTTAGCCAGCTAAAACAATCTAAATTACACATGCATACACAAGCATACCCCAATTCATGGTAACACAACAAATATTTTTGGCTTTAGTTTATTCTATAAAAATAGAGCTTTGGTAGAAGTTCATACATATCAACACTTCAAGAATTGCTGATGACTTAGCTAAAATTTTATAAACCACCACAGAGATACATAAAATAAAACATTGAAATTGTAAGTTCAGGCAGGTTTTAATTTAATAAGCTACTGTGTATTTAAGTGAAAGCCAAATAAAATTAATTCATTACACATTTGAAATTGTAATGCAGCAAATAACTTTTGTCATGGAATTGAAACACAAATATCGTGGCAATAAAAACAAAAAATTCCCACTCCAAGTAGGTCTCAAAATATTTCTTCTACAGGTGGAACTCAGAAATAATTAACAAAAAAACATTTAGAATTAACTCAATAGCTGAGTAGAAAACCTAATTTCTAATTCATAGCTATCTGACAATTGTATAATAGTTTGAAAAAAGCTCTTCTCCTTGTTTGATGTCCCTGAGTGCAACAAGAATGACACATCGAAGTGTACTGAAAACAAAAAGAAATATACAAAAGTTAGAAGTATTAACAGATACAAGCTCATATTTTTAATTTAACCAATATGGGTTTTATAGATGTCATTTTATTAATATTCCTTATTATCCTCTTAGTTCATGCATCTGATTTCCATGAGGAAATAGTTCTTATCACTGATGCAGCTAATTTTAGAGTATGTCTATTCTGTATCATTTTAAGAAATCACAAATCAATAAGTTTGTACAACTGACTACTTCTTCTGAACATGTTTTTATGTTTAGGTCCTTAAAACTGGTTATCACAAAAAGCATTTTTAAATGATATTCATTATAGTTTAACATTTTAAAATTAATTTGTATCTTTGTATTCTGCAAAGCTGGAAACTTAAAATTACTTAAAATGAATACATTTAAAATTACTTTTTGTGGATATAAGTCATGTAACTTTCAATGTCCGTCCTACTCATTTAACTCTTTCTGTATTGGTTGAACAATAATCAATAATGACATGCCCCATGGTATGTGGTTAAAAAAACCTAATTGTTAAATACACACACACACACACACACACACACACACACACACACACACACACACAGGAAAGTTATCAAGTTTTAAGTATAGGGAATAGTCTAAGTTTTAAATATCATTCATTTTAAAAGGACAATTTAATAGGACCCATACAAAATAAAGTTTGCTAGCAAATGGCAACACAGTGAAATAAGATTATATCGTCCTACAGCATTTACACCTAATGGACATTAAAATAATGTCTATTTTCCCTTTTTTCACCATTTTTTAAAATTTAATTTTTAGAATTTAACAGTAGTTGGTACACTCCCTGTTTTTTTCACTATTAAGTTTCCAAATCTAATGGTGAAATGGGCAAAAGAAATAATAGTGTAATTTGGCCTCTTTGTTCAACTTAGGTGCTCTCATGTGAGATGGAGAACATGATCCTTACAGTTTTTAAAGATTTTATAGGTACAAAAAAAAAAAATCATTTGAAAATAACTTTAAGGTTGATATTCATAAAGTACTACCTAGAATAAAATGGGCAATAAGTAGAATTAGTTAAATAGAAAATTTTTATTTTCAAATAAGTCTACATGAACACATTAAGGTGTGATGAACATAAAAATCTAAGTTATAATTTTTCACTAAAAAAGAACTCATCGCAAATTCTATATAGCTTTGTTTTAGACAATATATTTTTTTAAGTACAGCATAAGACAGAAGATAGGAAAAGCTCTTTTAGAAGACTAACCTTTGTTTATCATAGCTGTAGGCAATGTTTGGAAGATATTGCTTCAATTCTATTGGGAAAACCGCAGGCACATCAAATTCCTGATAACAGACATTAGCTGGTCTGTCTAGGAATAAGTATACAATTTTTAGAAACAGCCATTTTATAAGGTCATGGAAAACAGTACTGAATTATGATATTTGATGTACAGTTTTCTAAATTATCAGAACATGCTCAAATTAATCACTATTATGTTTCAAGCACTGTTAGGTTTTATTTTTATAGGTATGTAGGTATGTTTTATTATTCACTTTTTGAAGATCAGGAAACAGAGGCTCAGAAGATTAAAAGTTAAGTAGAAGAATCAGGCTTCAAGCTCATGTCTCCCTAAACCAAAGCCTATGCTACATGTAGCCAGATGATCAAACTTATACTTATGGGAAAGTCAAGCCCTAGAGAAGTGACTCGCAAATTTAGCAACAGAAAAGGGATTCAGTCTAGTGGTTAATCTACAAGGCTATTTTAAGGCACAGACAAAATAATCTCTAAGGTAACTATATACAAAATAATGATCAAGAGGGCAGTTTATCAATTGCCTATATTTACTGCAAAATCAGAACAAAAATAGTAAATTAAAGAATTCCAAATAATGCATATCATTATTTCCCCAAATTCTCTCTGGTATCTGCCTTAAATATAGTTAACTTAAGGGCTTCAAATAGCTGACATACATGTTAAACTCAACTGCATCTGGCATTCAGTCATATGGCAAAGGAAAAGAATTACCACTGCTGTATTTATATCTTGTCTCACAGCCCCATGGTGCCAACTTACCATTTGAACAATTGTTGACATACTGTCCTATAGCCAGTGGATTTTGAATTTCGGATGTTAGCCATGTACTATCACTCATTTTTAGTGGGCCAAGTCGATCCCTCCCATTGCAAGATCTGAAACAGGTGAAAACATTAGCTAAAGGATTACTCTTCTGTATCTTAAAATAAAATTGAAAGGACTAGCCGAGTGGTGCATTGGTTAAGAGTTGGCTTGGGACGCCAGCTCTGAGCAGCAGGGCCCCGTTCCGGATCCCACATGAGGGCTAGTGATGCTGCGCCCTCTACAGCTAAGATGGTGAACAACAGCTCCACCTGGAGCTGGGCTGCCCTGAGTCACCGGCAACGGTGTAGGCTACAGTGGGGCTGGCCGGCAGCTGGCATGTGCTCTTGTGAGCTACCATGAACCACTGTGAACGGCCGATCAATGGCCAGTGAGCAACTGCCTCGCCCGGGGAAGAGCGCAATGATAATACCAACATGGGCCAGTGATGCCACGTCCTCCACAGCTAGACTGAAGAACAAAAGGACAGCAACTTGTCTGTTCCCCTTCCCCGATTCCCCAATGCTGTCCTTGTTCCCCTTCCCCGATTCCTCAATTCTGTTCCCCTCTCCCAATTCCCCAATAAAATCTTTAAAAAATAAAATTAAATAAAAAAATAAAATTGAAAAATGCAAAATTAACCCTACAACTGAAAAAGTACAATTTCTCTTTAGAAACTTTTGTCTAGTCAATAAGGCAACTAAGGCTGGTGGTCATAGTCATTGTGGTGTGGTTCTGTCTCCTATAATTAAATTTGAACACGGGCACCAACTTACCTGTACACGATCTTTGATATTCCTTTGTCATTTCCATCAATGAGTACCCCATCCAAGCATCTAAAAATAAATGGATTTCCAATGGACTGGAAAAAGATTGGCTCATATTTCTGATATACTGTACCTATTATACAATAAGACAAAGACATTAGAGCAACATGTAAAAATCAAACATCATAAGGACCTTTCTATGGAACATAAATGTAACATTGAAGAATTTATTTTAATTTCTCNATATATACCACATCTCCTTTATTCATTCTTCTATTGCTGGACACTTAGGTTGCTTTCATATCTTGGTTATTGTAAATACTGCTGTAATAAACAGTGGGGGGGGTGCATGTATCTTTTCAAATTAGTGTTTTTGTTTTCTTTGGATAGATACTCAAAAGTAGAATTGCTGGGGAGTATGGTAGTTCTATTTTTAATTTTTTGAGGAACCTCCATACTATTTTCCATAGCAGCCTCACCAATTTACAATCCCACCAACGGTTCAGGAGGGTTCCCTTTTTTCCACATCCTCGCCAAGACTTGTTATTTATTGACTTTTTGATAATAGCCATTCTGACAAATATGAGGTGATATCTCATTGTGGTTTTGATTTGCATTTCCCTAATAGCTAATGATGTTGAGCATCTTTGCATGTGTCTGTTGGCCACCTATATATCTTTGGAGAAATGTCTATTCATGTGCTCTGCCCTTTTTAAAGTTAAATTTATTGGGGTGACATTGGTTAGCGAAATTATGTATGTTTCAAGTGTACAATTCTGTAACACATCATCTATATATGGCATTGTGTGTTTGCCACCCAGAGTCAGTTCTCCTTCTGCCCATTTTTTAATAGGATTGTTTGGTTTTTATATGTTGAATTGTAACAGTTCCTTGTATATTTTAGATATTAACCCCTTATCAGATATATCATTTGTGAATATCTTTTCACATTCGATAGGTTGTCTTTTAATTTTGTTGCTGGTTTCTTTCTCTGCGCAGAAGTTTTTTGGTTTGATAATAGTCCCATTTGTTTATTTTTGCTTTTGTTACCCTTGCCTAAGGAAACATATCCAAAAAGATATTGCTAAGATCAATGTCAAAGAGTTTATGCCTATGTTTTCTTCTAGGAGTTTTATGGTTTCAGGTCTTACATTTAAATTTTTAGTTTATTTTTGTATATGGTGTAAGAGAGTGGTCCAGCTTCATTATTTTTGCATATTATCTGTCCAGTTTTCCCACCACCATTTATTGAAGAGACTGTCCTTTCCCCAGTGAGTATTCTTTGCTCCTTTGTCAAATATTAGTTGAATGTATAAGAGAGTTTTATTCCTGGGCTCTTGATTCTGTTCCATTGATCTATGTGTCTATTTTTTGCCAGTACCATACCATTTTGGTTAGTATAGCTTTCTAGTATAGTTTAAAATCAGAAAGTGGGATGTTTCCAGCATTTCCTTTTTCAGGATTGCTTTGGCTATTAAGGGTCTTTTGTCATTCCATACAAATTTTAGTTTTTTTTCTACTCTGTGAAAAATGTCACTGGAATTTTGACAGAGATTGCATTGAATGTAAAAATGGCTTTGAGTAGTATGGACATTTTAACAATATTCTTTTAATCCATGAACACAGAATATATTACCATTTATTATGTGTACTTAAGTATCTTTCATCAAAGTTTGTTTTCATTGGGGCCGGCCGAATGGCGCGATGGTTAAGAACTGGCTTAGGACGCCAGAGGGCCCCGGTTCAGATCCCACATATGAGGGCCAGTGACACTGCCCTCNTAAAGTATGATTTAACATCTGTCAAAGAGTCTTTTAAGAAATGTATTTTGTTAATAACCAATTAAATAATGTAGACATACATGGGAATAGATGATCTGACATTCAGGTTGTTTCTCCTTTCAATGGCAATGGAGGAAATGAGAAAATTAATATTTACTGGGTACTGTCTTTATGTTCTAGGCATGTTAAGCTATTAAATTTATTCCAGTGTTAATTTGTTGCTGGCTTGTTCTATTTAGTCTTTATGAGTTAGTTCTGTAGGGAGAAACTGAGGCTCCTTTGCTTAGGGATGAAAATTAGAAAATAGAAGGACTTTTTTTAAAAACATAGGTCAACAAACAACCACATGTATTTTACACTACACCAAATAATATAATGTTAGTTTAACAAAAAACATATTCTGCTGAGCACTCCAGTCAATGATCCTTTGCAAAGAAGTTGCTTTACTTTTCAAGTGTAGAAATGGCAGGAAGGTTTTTACTCAGATATTTATGGGTTTAAATTGTATCTTTCATGTTTTAACCCATAACCATTTTTACCTTCAGTTATCAATTATCTAAGCCAAACTGACTTATTCTCTAGTGACTTCCATAGTAAGTATTCCGTTTGATTCTAGTAGGGCCATACTATATTCTCCCAAATTTAAACATTGACTATAAAATTTTCCTTAGAAAACAAGTGCATTTATCCTAACAAATACTTACGGATACTTTTTAACAAATAAGATAATTTATAGTTAATTTCCAAATCAGGGTTTAAAATATGTGGAAATCTTGAGTTTCCTTACTCTAAGAATTATAAGGCTAGGTATTTTTTTGAACTTATATTTATCAATATATAAGAAACTGTTGGCCAAGTACTAATTGTGTCATTACCAGGATACATAGATACAACCACGCCTTTTGGTACCAATCCTTTAGTAACGAAGACACCTTTTCCAGCAGACATTAATGAGCTAGTTGCTCGGGCAATACTGAAACCCAATGTTTTATAGAGAACTTCTTCTGGTTTAAGGATATTTTGCTGATGATGTCTGTATTCAAGCAGTTTCACCCTTGGATGTTGAACTGACAGTAGGTCTTGATATTTTGATTTAACAGGTTCAGGAAGCATAGTCAAGATATCTGATTGTTTATTGAAATCATTTATGAATAGAGCCTGGAAAACTTTCAGTAATGTTCCTAGGACATCTTCATCTGAGATAACTTTGTCTTTGGATTCCTCTGGAACGTATCGGAGGGTCCTGAAAATGGGAAAAGTTTCTATTCACTACCTTTTCAACTTATAAAAGCCAAGCTGTCTTGATGCCTTCTGGGTTACTGGCCTTAATGAAGATTATTCTCATGTGTATGATGAGCAGAAAACTAAGAAGTTAGGAAAAGAATTGTTTGGGTGTAGCTCTAGTTACGTAACTTCCAGTAATACCTACACAAGTTAAAAACAACAAATATTTACGAAAGGCCCAATGTGTACCAAATACTGTTGGGTCCTTAACATTCATTCTGTCATTTCTGCAGAAAAGGAAACAGGCTTGGAGATGTTAAGGAATTGCCCAAGGTACTAAAGGTGTTAAGTAGGAGAGCCAGAAACAGATAGCTCTTTTGACCCCAAGGCACCCATGGCCATTATGTGGATGTTATCAACATAATGAAAATCTTCATATGCGATGGCTTTTTTTAGGTGTGTAGTTTCAAATACAAATTTAGCATTACACACTTTGTCACATACTCTCCCAGGAGTACTTACTTCTTTAATGACTACATCCCTTTTATTTCCATAATGGTATTATTTTCACTTCTGAACAAAAAGGAAGAAATCTGCCTCACAATTTTATAATTAATGATGCATCTGAATTCACGTTTCGGTAGTATAAAACTTTGCGAAAACTCTTTCATCATTAATTAGCCTTCGTCGGAGCTAGTTCGCCTATTTAAGTAAGCGTTATGTGGGCTTCTTCCGGATCACTAGCACTGCCACCTACTAAAGCCAGCAATAACGCTGATGCCACGGTCACCCACTCAGCTGGATAGATCCCTTCCTTCAGACCCAACATTCTGACGTGCTTTTAGTGGCTTTTTGTTCATTTTCATGCGTGAGCTGCTCCAAGCTGTTATCCTTATAGCCGGGCTGGATTGCTTTCACTGTATAAACTACGGAGCTGTGAAAATAAACTTCGGTTTGGCTTTTCTAAGGAATTTCAAGCTCCTAACTATTCCTTGGAGGAGAGGTGGGCACGCACCCTTACGCTGTATGAATTTTCTTCTTTTTCACGACCCCGACCACGCAGACCTCGAAGCGCGGGGTACGATGGGATAGGCCTCAGGCCCTGCCCACCTAAAGCTCCACGCCCCTTTCGGGTCCCCGGGCTCCTTCGACTACACCAGCCTCAGCCACGGACCCGCCTAACTCTGGGTCCGCCCACTTTGGCCCCGCCTGCCTCAGGCCCTGTAGTTGCCCCAGACTCCTCCCTCTTCAGGCCCCGCCCACCAGGAGCCTGCTAGACTCAGGCCCCTTAGCCACCTGAAGCTCCGCCCACCTCGGGCTCGCTCGCCTCAGGCCCAGCGGCCGCGGTAGAGTCGCCAGGTTGAAGGAAGATACCCCTGCTCCAGGCGCCTCGTCTTCTCACCTCGGGTTGTGGCTTAGGTTCAGCGCGATCCACGGTACGAAGCGGTACCTGTAACGGCGCCATCGCTGCCACAAGCCCCACAGCAGGCGGCCCGGCATGGCTGTCCGGTGGCGCCGTGACGAAGATGACGCGGGAGAGGTGGGTCGCGGTCTCGGGGCCGCCCCGGCCAGGGGAGGAGCGGAGGCCGCTTTGGCCCGCCCCCCCTCGGTCTCCGCCCTCAGTGCCGCGCTCGGGGTTCCTAGTACCCCCGGCTCTTGTCGCCGGTGGCCTCCGTGCTTCCCCATTTTTGACTCCAGCTCGCTGAACAGGTGCGTAGAGCTGGAGGCGGTCCCCTTACTCACTTTTTCTTTCTCCATTTGCTCGTGTATCTCCCTGCCCTCCTCTCCCACACATTTAGGATTAGTTTAGACGACGCTTAGTTCCAATAGGAACAAACTACATGAACCTCTCAACCATCCTCAAGTCAACAAGTGTTTATTAAGAAATAAATCTGTTGGTGCCATTTCCTCAGGCTGGAAGGTGGGCTTTCCTATTCTTTACCTGAGATGGTGAATCTTAACCTAAGTCTAAATTGAACAGGTCAGACCTAGTGAAAATTCAGGTAAATGCAAGTGGCCTTAGGACATTTATTCTATTCCAAAAAGAAATAAAAGGAAATTGCCAGTCTAATTTCACTCCAATATCATAGGATGTTGGCAAACTCTAGAGGCCCTGCCGTCAGATATTGTGTTTGGTAAATTGCCATCAGGCTTACCTGAATTGCTAAATGGAGTCAATTCAGTTCCAGGTGTATTAATAAATGGAATTCAAAGAAAGTGATTTTATGACCTAAACTTAAGAGGAACCAAAAGGAACGAGTTGACCCCTTACCTAAAGATATACTTATCTTTTTTAAAAAGCAGTTTTTGTATATATTTCCAGTACTTTTTTATTTTTAATATTTATCATGTAGTTTAATCATCTGCAATATACATCCACTAGAAAGGACCATTTTGCATATATAT